CTCCAGGGCGGGGCACTCGGGGAGGGCCTGCACCTGGAACAGGAGGTGCACCTGCCCCGGCGGGAGGGGCGCAAAGTCCTCAGATCTGGGCACTGCCACACAACATCGCGGCGGTCGGTTTTTCATCGTCTTCGGTCTCTGGTCGGGGATCTACTGGCCCGGTCAATCCAGGCCCGGGTCAGTCAGGCTTTGCAGAATCCTGCAAACTCCCGCGGGATCCTGCAGGATTCTGCACCCAAACCCAGGTTCATGCGGCCCTGGCCCTGCAGGATCCTGCAAGGTCACGCGCTCTGGCTGATCCCCGTTTGCATGGAAGGCCCCGCCTCTTGAGCTCCGATCTGGAGGCCCTTTCCTGGCCCTGGCATGCTGAAGAGACAACTTATCGGGGGCGGCCAAGAGGGAGGCGTCCAAGAGGGGGGGGTGCAAATCATGACCGGCGGCATGTGCGCGGCCTTTGGGGGGGGCCAGGGACGTCATGAAACAAGAAGAGGCGCCATGACATCTGGAGAAACATCGTGGCCCCCGCCATGATATCCCCCCCCTGGTCATCACCTCCCTATCTGCCGCCCCCGAGGTGAAGCGCCGGCCCTGGTCAGGGATGGACAGAACCCCTTTTAGTAAAACGTGGTTTCGTGAAAACGACCTCGGGCCCAAACCTGGCGGGCGCGAGCCTGGAAAATGACGGCCGCGGCGCCCTCTCGAGAACCGAAACCAGACAGTTCACCAATCGACGTGTCATGGTACTCCAGATTTCGTAATAAAAGTGAGGGGGTCTGGACCCTCCAAGACAAGCCATTTCAGACCTCCCCCGTGGGAGAACCCTCCAAAACATCGTCCCCAGACCCCCCAGGCCCTCCAAGATAGCCTGGAAGAGACCCCCCCCCGAAATGAGACCCCCCTCCCTTTATATTACGAAATCTGGAGTAGGAAATCTGTCCACCGCCGAGAAGAGCAGGGCCCTGGGGAGGTGGCCGGGGTCCCTGAGAGGGCCGGCGCCGCGAACCAAAAAAAAAAGAAAGAAAGGTGCCAGCGTCGGAGGCGCGGGGCCTTCCCGCCCACTTCCCATACTTTCCTATATTTTCTGGGGGATATCGACGATAAATTGTGTCTGTGTTTTTTCCCTCCTGGAAATCAGAGGGGTGGCGGGTCTGGATGGCGCTCCGGACCGCTCCAGGAACGCTCTGGATCTCTGTCCCGGCCCTGGCCTCGCCGGAGGAGGGCAAGAGGCAAGGGGCAAGGGTGGAAGAAGGCGCGGCCGACAGGGCGGAGGCACCGTGGGGGGAAAAGAGCAGGACCAGCTCGTGGCCAAGGTAGGCCAAGGCTGGCGTCTTGCATGTGGGTCAACCTGTGGGTGGCAAGAAGACAGCGCTGCTAGAGGATGGCAAAAAGGAAGGGGCAAGGGCGGAAGGAAGCGCGGCCGGCAGGGGGGAGGCACCATGGGGGAAAGAGCAGGACCAGCGCGAGGCCAAGGGAGGTCAAGGCTGGCGTGTCTTGCACGGGGCCAGCCTGTGGGTGGCAAAGAAGGCCACGCTGCTGGAGGAGGGAAGCTCCAATGGCTGCTTTTAGATCGGACGTGTCCTCCTACAGGGAGATGTTGGCAGAAACACTAACGTATTCAGAACATATTCAAAAATTAGTCAAAAGATAGTCCCCATACTATTTTTTGACTCGTTTCACTTCTCCTCGTGTAGAGGGACAGGCCCGACTTTAGGGCTACTTCGCTTCCTCTTGACAGGAGGATGCCGAGGGGAAGAGCTCGTCCAGGACCTGAGAACCCCCCTTTGGAATGACCCGGGCGATGGGCGGAAGAAGGGGGGTGGGGACCAGTGGAGAAGGAGAGGCAGATGAATGCGGGCTCGGCATGGAAGAAGCGGCTCCCGAAGGAACCGACCAGCCATAACTGGGGGAGCTGTGGTCCTTACTCCCCTGGGGGACCCCATCGCATCGACGATCTCTCGAGATGGGTGTCGAAATCGGTGCGCCCCCCAGGGGGGTAAGGACCACAGCTCCCCCAGCTGTGGCTGGCCTGAGAAAACGGGCCTCTGGGGGACATTCGGCACTTTCGGGTTCCAGGAGCCTCACGTTGCATCCTCAGAGGGACCTTGCCTGTCTCCTCTCGGTCCTCCTCCTCCTCCTCCTCCTCCTCCTCCTCCTCCTCCTCCTCCTCCTCCCCCATCCGCGTCGAATCGGTATCGAATCCGTGCCTGGCTCGTCGGATCCGTGTCGGATCCCCGTGTCGGCTCCGCGTCGGATCCGCGTCGAATCCGCGCCCGCATCGAGCCTGCGCCGGGCACAAGAAGATACACAGGCGAGGTCCCCCAAAGATGCAACGTGACCAGCGGAGAAAGAGAGGCAGAAGAGTACTCTGGATTCCATAACAAAGTGGGGGGGTCACATTCGGGGGGGGGTCTAATTTGAGCCGTCTTGGACGGTTCGGGGGGGTCTGGGCAAAGGGCCGCCCTTTCATGGATAGTCTGGGGGGTCTTAAACTTCTCGTCTGGGAGGGTTGTGACCCCCTCCCTTTTATTACGAAATCTGGAGTACGGGTTCGGCATGGAAGAAGCGGGCCCAGAAGGCGACGGGGCCCTGAGGATTGTCGGCGCCTTCGGGCTGCAGGAGCCCCCCATGCACCGGCCATGGGGTCGTGAACAACACGACTCGGGATGAAGAGCGACGCGGCCGCGGCGCCACAACCGAAACGACCGCGGCGCAACGGAGCGCAGCCTGGCCGGCCGAACTGCAGACACCCTTGGCACTATTCGATCAGGGACCGACCGCCCCGGCACTCCTGCAGTATAGGCCCACCACGACATGATCTTAGGACCAACAACTGCTCTAAGAACAAGGACATGTGCTTGGAGCACAGACCCGACTGATTAAACCAAGAGGGCCTCAGCTAGAAACGTTCTAAGATCAGTTCGTGCAACCCTCAGGTCTGGCATGTCCCCCTACAGGCGGAACTTGAACGAAACATTAAAGATGGTCAAACCATACTCCTAAACGGTCAAAAGCATGATCAACAAATCATCTCCAGACAACTCAGAGGGACAGGCCCGACTCAGTGCAAACCACAAAGGGCTCCTATAAATTCTTTGGTGGGCCTCTAGGCGAGCCAAGACGCTCCGCCCCTGCTCGGACTCTGGGAGGCGAAAGTAGGCTGGGACATCATCAAGGCGAGGGCAGGGCTCCACCAAGGGGGGCGGGATGGGGGCGGAGCCGCGCGGGCCCGCTCCGGCGGCGACGCGAGGGGCGAGCAGCCCAGGGGCGGGCATTGCACGCATTCGCCACACATAGTCGACACGTCTGAAGGGGCCCTGAGACACACAAATAAATACACACAAATAAAAGGATTCCCCATATGTTCCCATATTTTCTGTGTTTTTGTCTTCCCCCCACTTCCCATGTTTTCGCATATTTTCGTGGGAATCGACGATGAATTGTGTCTGTGTGTTTTTTTCCCTCTTAAATATTGTCCCCCGACGATTCTTTGACCATGTTTGAATACTCCTCCTGTAGGTGGAATGTAGAGGGGCGTGACCGACTTCCCCCTTCTCGGCGGCGACGATAGGGGCGAACGGCCCAGGGGCGGGCATCACACGCATTCGCCCGGGAGCCTTTTCGAAGACACGGATCGTCGGCGCACCTGAATGCATGTGTACTGCTCTCCCCTGGGCTATTCGCCCCCATCGTCGCCTCTGGTGCCAATGAGGGTTCGTGTTGTGTCGACCCCGGCGCTGGTTGATGACACTGCGTCGATCGTTCCTTCAACCCTGAACGCTCGGCGGCTTCTCGATCGCCAAATCCTTCCGTATTGGCCGATTCTGGGCCACTGTGGGCGTTCAACCTTGAACGCACACGCTGGGGGCACCGCCGGTCGAGACGACGCGAACCTGCCGTACTTTTGATGGGTTAGGCTGGTTGTTCGACCGCTGATACAGTGGAGGCCAGTCCACAAACAGCTCTCCACAAGAAACCCGGCCCTGAGACCCCAGGACGTCCATCGATGCTTGGTGTGGGAACGCCACGCTTTCCATGGTAAAACCATCGAAACCCAAGAAACCCAGGGCCACCTGGAGGCAGGCAGGGCGTTTCTTGGCGTGGGCCCCCACTGTACACCAGCGCCGATGCAGAATGGAACCTCCCAGGAGCTGCATCCGAAAAGGGCGCACGCCACCTGAGGGGGGCCCGCCCTTAGTGGGCCACGGAAACGGCAGGGCCTTTTTTTCACCGTTTCCGAAAAAAATGCCCCTTGAAAATGGAAACGGCAAAACAACGGCGACCGGAAACTGCAAAAAAAACGGCTTCAAACTTGGAACCGGGGCGGAACCGGCAACAAAAAGGGCGACGGAACGAGCAAACGTACGGCCTCAGAACCGGCAAAAAAAAACGGCAAGACGGAACCGGTAACAAAAACGGCCCTGTCGTTTCCAGGGCCCACTAAGGGCCCAGTTGCTTTCAAAGCAATCGTGAGCCCCCCTGTGCAAGCACGGTGTGGGGAACCGCCATCATCATCAGCATCAGCATGATCCTCATGAGTATCATCGTCGTCATCGTCGTGGCAATCGTCATCGTCACCACCATCCCCGTCATCGTGTCCCTGACCGTCCCCATCATCAGAATCATGAGAATCGTCTTTCTCATCAGCATCACCATCACTACAATCATCATCGTCATCAGGGCCCACTAAGGGCCCGCGTGCTGTCGCTTCCAGGGCCCACTAGGGGCCCGCCTCCTCACTGCAGGCGGAGCGGCCGGGTGGTCTCCGAGGAGCCCGAGCGGCCGAGGGCACGAGCGAGCGCCTCCGGGCAGAGGCGGGGGGGATTCCAGGCGCGGGGGGCCCTGCGAGGCAGGCCCGGGCCGCAGCACCGCGCTGAATCTCGGAATAAGCGTGGCTGGGGGGGGGGGGGGGAGGAGGAGGAGGAGGAGGAGGAGGAGGAGGAGGAGGAGGAGGAGGAGGAGGAGGAGGAGGAGGGAGGAGGAGGGGGAGGAGGAGGATGAGGAGGAGGAGGAGGAGGAGGAGGAGGAGGAGGAGGAGGGGGGCACGGGCTCCATACTTCTGGGCTTCTCAGTGAGCGCGGGGCAGTGGCCCACCGAGACCGGGGTCAACCTCGCCTCGTCGTCGCGCCGCGACGGGGGTCGGAGCGCCTTCGGCGCGCGGTGGCCGCCCGCGACGGGGGTTCGGCGCGGGGCCGTCGGCGGGGGTGACGCCCCCCCCTGACGCCTGTTGAGAAGCTCGGGATGCGGGTAGGGGCGGGGGGGGGGACCGCGGAGGGCTTCGCGGCTCCTGCTGTCCCTCGACTCGCGCTGGAGCGTCCCCGAGCTGCTTCAGAATCTCCCAGGGGATTGATGGATTCGCCTGGATGAGCATGGGACTACCTTGGCGTTCGAGCCCCGCAGGTTGATCGGAGAAAAGTCGTTGAGCTCGTAGGGAGGGAATGGGGGAGCCGTCTACCCATCCCCCCTCTCACACTCACTGGCCAGTCACTTCGACGCTGATGTCGACGCCGACGGCAGCAATGCCGACGCCGAATACGACAAGGGGATACCGAAGACGACGAACACGACGAACACGATGGCGACGTGAGCGCCGAAGACGACGGCAACGACGCCGATGCCCAAGACGACGACGACGACGAAGATGACGCCAAAGACGACAACGACAGCGACACCGTCGCCGACGCTGGAGACGGCGGCGGCGGAGCGGCGGACCAGGTAGCGGTGAAGGCCCTGCAGTCGCTCGGCGTTGAACCCGCCGACGTCCAGCGCGTGCCGGATGCCTCAGGCGAGCGCGGAAGGGAGGACGGCTGTTGTTGTTGACCATCACTCCAGACCTCCAACATGTTGAACAATTCAGTATGGGTGTGTGTTCGTGACTTTCGGCCCCCGGGGGCCCTCACCGGGACCCAGGACCGTCCAACAACTGCTCAGGATGCACCACTGGCCCTGGGGAAAAGGTCGGGACTGCCGGGGACCCCGGATTGAAACACAATGCATCGACTCTCAAGGCAGATGCACTGACACGCTGAAAGCAACGTGCAACCCAAGTCGAGTTTTCGATCCGTGCTTTGTCAGGCAGGAGCCCAAACACGCGCGAGGAGGAGGAGGAGGAGGAGTAGGAGGAGGAGGAGGAGCAGGAGGAACAGGAGGAGAAGGAGGCGGAGGAGGAGCAGGAGAAGGAGGAGGAACAGGAGGAGGAGGAAGAGAAGGCGCACTTGTGCAAATCTAAAGCACATCAGCGATGTTGTCATAGGGCCTCCTCCGAAGCTCAAAGGCCTCTGGGCCTCTCACAAGCGTGCGAATCTCCTCCCCCCGAGGCCCCGCGGCCTCCCGAGAAGGCAGGCCTCGTCGGCTAGAGGCGCCGCTGCTTGACGTGCCCTGTCAGGCCCTGGGGGAACCAACGGTGTGCTCCTTTCAGGGATGGACAGAGCCCCTTTGACAAGACGTGGTTTAGTGACAACGACCTCGGGCCCAAACCTGGCGGGCGCAAGCCTGGAAAATGACGGCCGCGGCGCCCTCTCGAGAACCGAAACCGGACAATCCACTAATCTAACTACGTGTCAGGGTGGGGGTTCTGTCCACCCCCGATCCCTGCGCCTCCGCGGAAGCTCCTTTGGAAGCTGGCGCTCCCGAGAGGAGCTTCCCGAGAAGGCTTCTTGTCAGACGCTGCCGAGAGGACAGCTCCCTCAGAAGGTGGTGCTCCCAGGGGCCACATGCGAACCCTACCCCTACCCCCCGTCGATTTCTGCGGGGGAGGGTGGGGTTCCCTTCGCTCGAAGTCTCCCTTCGCTCGAAGTCTCCCGAGCGAAGTGAACCCCAGCCTCCCCCTCAGAAATCGACGGGGGGCAGGGGTAGGGTTCGCATGTGGCCCCCTGTAGCTCCCGAGGAGCAGCCTTCCAGGAAGCGCCCCGGTGCCTCCGCGAGGAAGCTCCCTCAGAAGCCGGGAGGGCCTCGGAGAAGCCACCGCCCGCCCGCCGCCCTCCGCGGCCGCTCCCCCCCTCGCGCCGCGGCCCCCTGGCCCGGGCGCCGCCGAGGGCCAGCCGAGGGGGCCTGCGGGGTGCGGGAGCCCAAACCCCGGGGAAATTCGAAGGTACGGTCAGGTCGGGCACGTCCTCCTACAGGCGGGCTCTGGAAGAGACATGAAACCATTGGAACCCCCCCCCAAAAAAAAACGGAGCAATCTCAAATGATTGACAGGTCGTCCCCGGACAACTTTTCTGCTATTTCTGACTATTCCTCCCAGAGAGGGACATGCCCGACTTGGAAGTGCGGATGCCGCACCTCCACGGACCTCTCCCCGGCTGCGCCCTGGCCAGAACTTCGGAGCGCATCCACAGCCGTGGCGGCAAGAGCCCCCCCCGGAGACCCCCGAGAGGGGCGACAGCGAGGGAAGGGCAGCGGCACCGGTGGCTGTCCGCGCTGCTGCTCCGGAGATCGCTGGTACGAGGACTGTGGGCGTGCGCCTGCGGGGGGAAGGAACTCGTCCACCGCACCCGTCGCCCACCTCGTCCCGTCGGCCATCGGCATCGGACGGTCCATTCCAGATCGGAATCCCAGGTTGACTCGGGCCGGCATCGGCAGCCCTCGAACTCGGATCGAGCCGAATCAGAGCAATCGAGACGAGCCCTGCTCGTCTGGACGATCCTCCTCCGAGGACGAGGAGCTCAAATCCGCCGACAGACGCATCCCAGTGTCGTCGTCTTGCGTGGATCACCGACGTCGTCGTCGTCGTCATCGTCGTCGCCCGAAATAAAAGGAGATCGAACACGAAACAAAAGGAAATCGTAGTCGTGGCGAAGCCCCTCCCTACCCTACCCACCGGGGGGAGGGGGGGGGCAGATACGGTACGCATCCCCTCGAGAGACCTCTCCCTACCTCTCCCCCTCCTCCTCCTGCTCCTCCTCCTCCTCCTGCTCCTCCTCCTCCTCCTCCTCCCTCTCCTCCC